GGGACGAACGATCATATGCGTTACTACATAACCATGGAAACGCAAGGCTACTTCAGAATAAAAACAAAAAGCAAAAATCGGTACGTTCGGCTTGATCCGGACGAATACGTCTCATCAAGGTTCAATATAGCAGACGACAGGTCGTTGTTTCAGTTCATAGAAGTGGATTAGAGGTACACTTTTAACTGATAAGCATATCAGATGAAGAACAAAGGCCCCCATGTTTTCATGTACATGTAAGAATCAGTGATTGATATCTCTTCAAGGATCAATCTCTGTAATTTATCATTATCATCAAAGTCATCATCATTATTTATCACGATTTTCGTCATTATAGTCTTCATTCTTTAAAATTAAATCATAATTGTCGCCGTGTTCCCGCCAACATTATCACCAATTTCTTAGATGTCGTTTACATCGTTATCATTTATAAATTAGAAGATGCCGAAATGGTTACCAGAATTTGGCGACATACTCATTTTTATCTGCGATATGATAATCTTTGATGGCAACGAAATGATATTCAAGAAGAATAAGAGTATTGTGAAATATAGTTTATCGCACTATTCATCGGAAATATGTATATAAAATGTTGCATATCAAGGACTGTATGTTGAATAATGACTGCAGTTTTAAATAGTTGTCTTTTTTAATGGTCAAAGCAAATAGCTGATGATGTTGACGGCGATAGAAGTGCTGTCCATAATACCGATGCTGCTTATGAACATGACAAGAATGTTGATGATAATGAAAACTGTGGAACTGCCTTGATACTAGCAATAATAATAGAAATACATTACAATAGAATTGACAATATCAATTGTAGTGTAGTAACAAATGTTGATGTTGTTTATATACAACTGTCTTATGAAAAAGTGATGATGATGATGGTGGTGGTGGTGGTGGTGATGATGATGATGATGATGATGACGTTCTTGATGATACTAAACGATCATAATAATGATATTTATTATAGCATTGTATAACAACAACAACAACAACAACAACAATAACAACAAAAATTACAATTATAATGAGGAGAAACAATTTTGATATAAATATTCATGAATACGTTTACTTTTTTATTTACCTGATTAAACAAAGAAAGGGATTATAGTTATAAGCTCTATTGATAATTTGTCTTTCAGTAAATCTTCAGGGAAAAGTGTTCCAGATTTTCGAACTAAAAACTGGTGAAAATTGGTATTACGACGGGAATAATTCAGATCTGAAAGCTGTGAGGCAGCTAACGTGGCAACCAAGGAGTGATTTTCTTAAGTTTACTTTTGAAAAACAAATGGACGGATCATACAAAATAAAGGTGAGGCGCATTTGTTTGTATTTATAAATATGATTTTCTGATAAAGAGACGGTTTTACGGAATGAAATCCCCTTTATAAACGGACTTTTTTTTATTTCATTTCAAATTTTAAACTTTTTTTACTTCGTTGAAACAACACTACATCTATTCATAAGGACTGGCCACAAAATGCTCATTGTTGATCAACTTTATCCGCCCAGTTTTGTTACTAGATTTAAAAGAACTGAACCATGCACAAATCGCATACGGTTTACAACGCGGTTATTGCGTTTTGTTCTTTATGGCATAGTTCTCGATCATGGAAGCATTTTACTGGAATAATTTTTAATTGCGCAGCATTATCGTAGCCTATGAACGTTTGACGACATTTTATTTAGCCACGCCTTTTTATCTGGTGTTATTACAATTTCGTTAAACAAGTTCTGACTAGATATACGGGATAATATAACATTGCCAACGTAATGTAATCCTCGGCTTGCGCCTTGGGTCAAATTGTATCTCATTCAAATGATTTTTCCCATATATCCCGTGAGCAACTTAAATAATTATATATAGTGAATAGAAGAATCAGAAAGTGTTTAAATATTTTTAGAAGCAGCAGTGTGAAAGGCGTTTTATGATATATCATTTTCTTACGTATCGTTCATATCTTACATTTCAGTCGTTTGCTGTACCAAGATATATTTACGATGGGTATAACGTGTCTGGTGCACGTGGAGTAGTATATCTAAATGGTAATGACCGAAAACGGATTGACGATCATATGCGATACTATATAACCATGGAAACACCGAAATCCTACAGAATAAAAACAAAAGCAACAAATCGTTACGTTCGGCTGGACGCGATCGGATATGTATCATCCAGATTGAATAGAGCAGACGCAAGATCTCTATTTAAATTTGAGGAGATGCATACAGGTAAAATCTCAACTGATAAGCCTCTAGAAGATAGTCTCAAAATTGACTCTTTGTAGGTTTTACTGGTGGCATGGTTTAATCTGTAGTCTTAATTATATTCAATTTTGACATTTATGTGATTCCGTAGCTTTTTAGCTCACCAGAGCTAGCTCAGGGTGAGCTTTTAGGCTCGTTGAATGTCCGTCGTCCATCGTTTGTTGTCCGTCTTCCGTTTACACATGTTCGTTAACACTCTAGCGGTCACATTTTTGCCTCAATCATCATCAAACTTTATCAGAATGCTTGTCTAGGTAATTTCTCGGATGAGTTCGAACACTAGTCTTGTTACCTCGGATGAAAAACTAGGTCACAGGAGCTCAAAATAGAAAAAAATCTTGTTAACACTCTAGTAGCTACTGTTTTGGTCCGAATATCCTGGAAATTGGTTTGAACGTTTGTTTTGATGATTTCTAGGTCAAGTTCAAACATGGATCAACTGGGATCAAAAAACTAAATCACACTGCTCAAATATGGATAATCCTTGTTAGCACTCTAGTGGTCACATTTCTTACTCACCTGTCATGAAACTTGGTCAGAATGCTTGTCTAAGTAATTGTCTAGATGAGTTCGATGGGTCAGGTGAGCGAGCTAGAGCCATCTTGGCCCTCTTGTTTAAGATTTCAACAATGCTTCATTATAATGGCTTCTGTTCACCGATTGCAGTTTGCGTCTGTGTCACTGGGTAAATAAATATGTAGCCAGTTCGGGCTTCTGACATGGGACCCCCAAATACAAATTTCTCAACACTACCGACAGATCAACTTTTCACTATTTCTCCTTTTATATTGCAATTTCTCTTCAATTTCCGATGGATAAAGAAAAGTGCCTGACCTGGACTCGATCCCATTCCCTAGCTCTACCGACAAAATTTCCCGGCCGCCCGATTAAAAATTCAGGCCGGTCTGGATCCATGCTGGTCGCAAACCCATTATTTTGGTTTTGTCATGGTGTAGCTCAGTTAAATATCGTTTAAACAATGATGTAAGAGGATACAAGATATTTATCTTAAGAATGTAGCGTTAAATGTATTACATGTATATGTCATAAAAGTCGAACATGTAAACAAAATAGTTTTTCTACTTCGATAGAAAAACACAAAATCACTGTAACAGTACAAATTGTCAAATAGCAAAAGAAGAAAAAAAGGTTCCGGTAATTGGCGCATGAGCTACATTTTGGAAACAAAATTTAAAAGCTTTAGAGAAATGAATAGACAATGAAAAAGATTTCTAGATTTTAATAGGCTAACAAGTGAACGTAAAATCTAAAAGCCATGTTATAAATTCGTTTCTAGGTGTTATCCATCCTGATAAATCAAGCTCCGATTAGTAATTGATGCATGATGTTTTTGTATTTTCATATTTTAACAACATCCAACTGAAAAAAAACACAAAACCGCACCATACCCTGCCTTTAAATTAACAGGGGTTAAACGATAACAGAACCACATTAGTATGAGTATTATCTTTACTGCTATTAAAAGTTATTAATATCATGACAATATCGTCTACATTCTATCAGTTTCTAAAATGTTGTCTTTATTATTTTCATTATCCTCAGCGACATACTCACAAGCGTAAAAATACATTTTGTTTTCCATAAGAAAAACGTATGTTCAAAAAACTGTAAGTCAACGGTTGTAGGTGTGCAAAAAAAGAAACAAACATTTAAATGTATCCTTTTATATGGAGCAATGATAATGATGACGGGAAAGAGTGCTGACCATGGTTGCTGTTAATATACATAATAGTATGTTTTCTTGATGATGATGATGATGATGAATGTACTTTTCTTGGACAGCCAGAATATTACAAGATAGTTGTTATGGTCGTGTTGGCTAATGTTATGGCGTGGGTGATCGTGGTAGGGTTGATGATGATGGTGATGATGATGATAGTCATATTATATATGCAACTGCCCTTCTTGCTACCATGTTTCTGCCTCTGCTGCTTTTTTAGTTAACAATGATACTGAAAAGCGATGTTATAATAACACTTTAGTTGTCTTTATCTTTGACTACAAGCATGACGACGATGATGATGATGACAAGTAGAACGATGTGAAGGTCGATGGTGTTGGTGATGATGAAGCTGATTATGATGATTATTATAATAAAAATGATAACAATAATTATTATAAAACGAAGGAAAACAGTATAATAAGATCGGCATAATTATCTAAAACTACATCTGAAACTCTATTATTTTCAGTAAATATTGAAGGAAAAGTGTTTAAGATACAGGCAAAAGAAAACAATCAATTTTGGCATTTCGACGGAGGTAACGAAGTCCTTAAAGTTGTTTCGTCATTGGTTCAACCGAATGATGATTATGTTAAATTTACTTTTGAGAAGCAAACTGACGATTCATATAAAATAAAGGTGAGGCGCTTGATTCCTTTTATACAATTCATTATTTCTTTTTCAGGAATTAAGAAACAGCAAAACTAGAAAAAAACGTCTGATTTGTAGCGTCATATCGAAAGTACTACTCGTATTTGGTAATTAAGATTTAACTAAGTTGTATGTTAAGATTTCATCATTGCTTTCAATCGTAATTCACACCGCCGATCCAATTCAGTTAAGTGATTAGAAAATTCCAAGAAGTCGTCATGCTTATTGGACAGAAGTGGTTGGAATGAATTTGTTTGATCGCAACCGGCTGCTCTACCCTCTTTCACGACAAAATTACAATCGATCGAGTGTGTTTCTTTAAGTCACAATAATAAGAAGAGATCATGTGTTGTCGAGTAATGGTCGAGTTATAAGAAAACAATCATACAGAACTCATGGATGCTCTGAATTTCACACCTGATCATGTCCTCTATAAGTTGAGTAGGTTTAGCAAATACTTTGCAGGGATCATGTACTAGTCGTGAGCGAGACATAATGACCAGGGAGGGGTTAGATGTGTTATTATGTTTATGTTTAATTATGCTCGAACTTTGATTATGTAATGTCCAGAACTATCGAATAATTAGGTAAGATTGAATCGTAGAGGAGTCAATGTGGCTCGTCCATGGTCCGTGTATGCTCTCTTGGCGATATGATATCGCCGATTTGCGATTTCTAAACCTTTGTACAATGCTAATTATAGTTTTCCATTTGTCGACCTTGGTTTAGTCGGGAGATTGGGTTGATCAGATCGTCAGTTTCGTAATATGTGCATTGTGTTCTAACGTTTTATATATATTTTTCTTTTTTAAGTCGTTTGCCATGCCAAGATACATGTACGACGGGTATAACGTGTCAGGTGCACGTGGGATATATCTAAATGGTGACGACCAAACGGATGACGATCATATGCGATACTATGTAACCATGGAAACACAAGACTTCTACAGAATTCAAACAAAAGCAACGAATCGTTACGTTCGGCTTGACTCGGACAATTACGTATCATCAAGAGAAAATATAGCAGAAGATAGATCGCTGTTTAAGCTCGTAGTGGTGTAAACAAAATATGAATTTCGACTAAAATAAGACAACTTGTGTTTATCAATTTCTTTTATCAAAGCCATAATGACTTTGTGTCATAATTTCTTAAAAGCAGAATACTCTTTTCAAATTTAGTTGGTGTACAATAATGTTAAACATTATAAACTTGACTGATTAAGATAATCTATGTCATAATACGTAACATTATTTTACACTTTTGAACATTTAAAAGGAAAAGTTCTCCCTCCAAATAAAAAGAACAAACAAACCGACAAAAAAGTTCATACTATCTTCCACCGTGTTCACAAATGAAATTATTTGATAATTCAGGTATATTACAGGTGTTATGTACGTATATTTTTACGTATATATGATTTTGTATTATTTTATTTTATTCCTAAAAAAAACTATTATAATAATAAAATATGTAAACAAACATGCTGGTCGCATTGTTAATAAATGTGAAAATTTTTCTGCTGGTCCAGGAACATAATCATGGAGGGCATACTAAAATGCATGATTATAATATACGAGGGTGCTTCAAAAAGTCATGTTACTTATGAATAGAACAGAACAGAGTTTATTTCATAACTTGTACACACATAGGTACATCGATATAACAAGCATTTTGAATATAATTTTAGGTCACATAAAGTACTTTTAAACAAAAGTGTGTTACCAATCTGATATACTTTTTAGTATACAAGTTATACTAACTTGAAGTAGCAATTAAGTATATAAGAGTTAATAACTTGAAGTTCTGTGCACTCAAAGTTACATGAATTCGACCATCATGAGATACTTTTTAAGATACCACTGTCGGTAACTTAAATTACCTTTAGTATACGAGTGTTATTAACTTGTAGAATAAATATAAAAGATTTGTCATGTTGAAGTACTGCTTACTATGCGAATGTTACAGATTTGATGTACTTTTAAGGTATGAACTACTTTTTTATATATTTTACAAACTTGAAGTATCTTTGAGAAAGTTATCAAATTGTAGAATAATTATAAAAGAATTGTCATTTTTGAAGTCCTTCTTATTTTAGGAGTGTTACAAATTTGATGTACTTTTAAGTATTATAATGAACTACTTCTTTTATATATGTAACAAACCTGAAGTATCTTTGAGTATTGGAAAGTTACCAAATTGATGCAATCTATAAATTCAAATGTGCTACCTACATGAGATACCTTTTTAGGATATGATTACTAGCAAGTTGAGCTACTTTCAAGTATGGACTTCTACCATCTTGAAATACTTACCAGTGCTTGAGTGTTGCCAACTTAATATATATTTATGTTTTCTAATTAATATGAATTGTATATGTTTTCTAATTAATAAGAAGTACTTCAAAGTAACCATAGATTTTTGTTTATACTGTTTATTGAAAATTTGCATTTTAGATAAATGAGTAATGCTGCATCTTGTAACTTAAATGCTGTTACCAAAATGTTTCAAGAAATGTGTAGTTTTTTTTTGTAATTTTCAAAACTGTATTATGTGACATCTGTCTTGGAACGAAGTGATACTAGGTATAAAATGATGATTGTAACTTTTTGAAAACATTTGTACATTTTTCTTTTATAAAAGTTCTTATATCCAATTTTATTGATTCGATTTCCACGAACACGTCACTTTTTCTTTAATTTTCTTCATTCATATTTACTTAATGGTTTATGCTTTTTTTTTCTATGTTAAACATGTTATACTTCTGGCTTGAGTTAAGGCTGATTTTGAAAAGGTAATTTGTTATTTTTGCACTAATGACTGATCTGTCTATTTTATCTGTAAATTGTAAGAGGACTTCAAGGTTTTGTAAAAAGACAAGAAGTTTTTCAATATTTAAAAAGAAAATTAAATGTGATATAATATTTGTCTGCAGGATACACATTTTCACCAGGACCAATTGAAAAGATATTTATACAGAATGGGGCTCAAAATGTATTTTAAGCTTTTCTAGTTCAAACTCAAGGGGTGTTGGATTTTCTTTCGAATAAACTTGATTACAAAGTAAACCCAATAGATTGTTGATGAGTATGGCAATTATATAATTGTTGACATTACTATAGGTGAAACGAGATTCACTCTTGTTACATTATATGGTCCTAACGAGGACAATCAATCTTTTTATGAAAATATTTTTGATAAGATAGATCAAATTGGAAACAGTGATCACCTGATTTGCGGAGATTTTAATTTAGTTATAAACCCTGAATTGGACTATGATAATTATTAAAAATATAAATAATAAAAAAGCACCGCGCCTTCATTCTGAATGAAATGCAAAAAAGAGAAATTACTGACCTTTTTCGAATCTTTTCTCCAACAGTTAAGCGTTTCACTTGGCGAAGAACAAACCCTTTCAACAAGCAAGATTAGATTTCTTTTTTGGTTACCCTATTCTTTTTTACAAGTGTAGTAGATACTATGATTAAACCAAGTTTTCGTTCTGATCACTCTATAATTCTACTTAAACTGAAATTTGTAAGTTTTGATCATGGTAAAGGATTGTGGAAGCATAATAATTCACTTTTAAAAGATTTTAGATTATCTAAAGGGAAATTAATAAGATAATAGATATAAAACTATCATCCAATATGCTGTTTCCGATATATAATTATTGAAAACATTTTAGATATAATCCGTCAGACTTGCAACTAACAATAAATGATCAGTTATTTCTGGAGACCTTATTAATGGAAATTAGAGGAAAATCTGTTTCATATAGCTCATATAAAAAGAAAGAATCAAAATAAACAGGAAATAGTCATTAAAGAACAGATTGAAAACTTGGAAAATTCATTTTTCTGCTGATAAAGTTTTGAGCTATTAAATAACTTAAAAGAAGAAACTAAATAAGATACAGAATGAAAAACTTAAAGGTTTTTATGATAAGATCAAAAGTTGATTGGATTATTTGATGGTGAAAAACCAAGCAAATTGTTCTGTAATTTAGAAAAGAGTAATTATATATAACAAAAACAATTTTCAGTGTAATTAATGATGATGGAACAGAAATTTCAAAATCAGACGGACATTCTCAAAGAAATCTCGGCTTTTTATTCCAAACTATATTCAGCAAATAACATAGAAAATTCAAATGAAACTTTCAAATATTTTTATTGACAGCTTAACTATTCCCAAATTATCAGAAAATGAATGCTGCATCTATAGAGGGACCAATAACAATAAATCGTTTAAAGAAATTTTTAGATAAAATAGTTAGTAATGATCAAACAGGCTTTTATTAAAGGCAGATTTATAGGCGAAAATACTAGATTAATCTATGATATTATGAACTACACAGAAGAAAAAGATATTCCTGGTTTACTTCTTCTAATAGATTTTGAAAAGGCTTTTCGACTCATTATCTTGGAATTTTGTTGTTACAAACTTTAACCTTATTTAACTTTGGAAACGATATTGAAAGATGGTTCATTATATTGTATAAAGATAGTGTATCTACAATAAGTCAGTGTGGTTTTTCTTTCTGACTTTATTAAAATTCAAAGGGGCTGTCGTCAAGGAGACCCTTTAAGTTGTTACATTTTTATCCTATGTGCAGAAATATTGTCCATAAAAATTAGATCAAATGAAAAAAATCAAAGGTATTAAAATAAATGGTATTGAACATAAATTATCTCAATTTGCAGACGATACAACTGTTATACTTAATGGCACTGATGAGTCTTTAAATGAAGTCCTAAACACACTTGCAGATTTTTTCTTTATTTTCAGGTCTTAAGGTTAAATTTTGATAAAACCAAGATTGTTTGGATTGGTAAACTTAAATATAGTACAAATAGAATAAAACTAAATGGAAATTATCTTGGAACCAGTCTTCTTTTGATATGTTAGGTATAAAATTTCATGTAGAACTTAAGAAAATGGTGACAATTTATTATGATGAAAAAAATGAATAAAATGCGGAAAGTATTATCCAATTGGAAACGAAGAAATTTAACTCCAATCGGAAGAATCGTAGTCATTAAATCTTTATTGTTATCAATATTCACACATTTATTTACAACTCTGCCAAATCCAAGTCCTTATATAATTAAAGACTTAACTGAAACTTTCAGAGATTTTGTCTGGCATGGTCAATGTAAAATTAAGCAAGAGGTCTTTAGACAAAGTAATGATAAAGGTGGTCTAGGAATGATAGACGTTGAAGCATATATTTACTCTTTAAAGATATCTTGGATAAGAAGAATTTTAGTCAATAATGGTAAATGGATAGGTTTGGCATGCTCAATTTTTTGATATAGAGAAATTAATTAATTGTGGTATAGTGTATTTTAGAAAAAAAGGTTAGTGAGATAAATAATGATTTTTGGAAGGACACTTTGAATGCATATTATATGTTCTGTAAAATTGTAGAAACAAATGAAAATGAGTTATATTCTCATCCCAATTTTCTATAACCCTTTAATAACTATTGGCAATCAACCAGTGTTCTTTAAAAACTGGTTTAATGCAGGTGTACATGTCATAGGTGATCTTTTGAAAACAAATGGACAATTTTATAGTTTAAATGAATTTAATGACAAATATAACATAAATTCTAACTTTATACATTATCTTGGTATTGTAAATAGTGTATCCAGTTTCCTTTCATCTTATGATAGAACATGCAATGTCCTACATAAGACCTTTTATACCACCTTTTATAAAAGTTATTTTAAAATTTTACTAAGGGTACTCATCCTATGTATGAGGCATTTATTAAAAACCAAGATAATACCTACTTGTATATCAAAATGGTGTGAAAAGCTCAATGTAACATTAAGTGAAGAAGATTGGAGTTACAGTTTTTCTTTACCTTTTAAAATATCAAATTATTCAGGCCTACAATGGTTAGTACAGAATTAATCATAGAATAATAGCAACTAATTCATTTACTTTTTTAAAATGAAATTAAAAGATAACGAACTCTGTAGTTTTTTGTAAAAATGAGAAGGAAACATTAGAACACATGTTTTGGTTTTGTCGATAATAAACAATTTAATATTTTCTGTTTTTGAAAAGTACGGCATTTTTAGATCTTTTGCTTTCAACTGTTTGTAATTTTATCCTTGGTTTGAAAGATAGTAATTCAACTGCAATAAATACGATTTTCCTTTTTCTGAAAAGATATATTTATAACTGTAGAGTAAAAGAACAAGTACCAAATACTACAAGAGCACATCAGTATATTAAATACCAATTTATAATTTTGAGAGAGAAGCAATTTACCAAAATGATTTAGATACCTTCAATAAGACCTGGATTCTTTTTTTTGTCAAAAAATAGAAGCTATACTTAACCTTTCATATGTTTGTAAAGCTGAAAACGATAGCCAGAAGTATAAATGATCAAAAATATATTACATGCAAAACCTGTTTTTCTTTCACTTTTTTTTCTTCTTTTTTCATATAAA